GTGCACCTAAATAAACAGTTGTAAGCCATTACTTAAACCAGGTGCTGTGAATTTGGAGCCATGGTATAAGCCACATTAAAATTTGTACAACTTTGGTAATGATCTTGTGCTTTTTGACTTTAGAGTGATTTTATACATAGTTTAAAAAAAGTTCTGTCTGATTACTTATTCAACCCTGATTGAAGAATGTACAGTATTTGTAACATTTTGAATAGATTTTGTTGTTGATCCTCCATCCTTGATCTTTTGTTTAGGATTGGAAAAAATTGAACAGCTACAGAATCATGAGAATGAGGACATCTACAAACTGGCTTACGAAATCATCGATCAGTTCTTCTCGTCTGACGATGTAAGTGTTTTTTGCTTTTAGTGACCTGAAAGGCACGGGAGTTCATACTGCATGTGCGATTCAGTGTTAAATACATGTATACTGGGGTTTTAGAAGTGATTTAACATGCTTCCATTTACTAAATTAATCACAGACTCGATTGTTTCATGATGTCCTTGACTTGGCTTATAAGGGATCTGAGATTAATCTGTCCTCAAATGAGTGTTTTAATGTCACTCATTAAAGGAGCTAAGAGTTGGGTAATTGAGTTGTCATTCATGTCTCCACTCAGATTGATGAAGACTCGAGTCTGGTTCCAGAGGCCATCCAAGGTGGAACATATGGATTTAATTCATCAGCCAATGTGCCAGCAGAGGGATTCCAGTTCTAGAAGGCCGACATGAAATCTGGAGATTCGTTTGCGATGCAGCACTCTAACATGTACAAAAAAATTAATTAGGAGAGAAAGAGAGAAGTGCGCGAATGTGAGAAATTAGATCCATTGTGCTTGGCTCATGGGATCCATGGCTGCATCTAATCCAAGAGAAATTGTGTGGATTTCGTTTGGCATCCTGGCGTGAATCCAGTCCAAATGAAGTTTGTGACGGCGAGTGGGTGCGAGTGAGAATGAGTGGGCTACTAAATGTTGCAAAAACACAACCATCTACACCGAATGCGTTCAGAGAACATTTCGCGAAATGTCACACAAATATCAGGACGTGTCTACCAAACGACAACAAAAGCAAATCGGCGCAAAAAAACCACGGGGAGAAACAAGATGTCGCAACCTAGCAATTGGAGGGAATGACACAAGAAAAACAGACAAAACCTCTGAACAAGAATATACAAAAAAAAAAGGAAAAAAAAAGAACTGAGCAGCGGGAGGTGTCATACCGGTTGGCGTCTCCCCTCCCCACAATGGGCCCCGCTGTGAGAGGTGTGTGCGAGTGAGCCGTTTTTGCGTATGAATGTATGGACCTGGGGCCGAGGACGCGGAGCTTACCTCCGAAATCTCTAACTTTCAGCGCATGTCATTCCTCGACTGCGCTACGTGTGTAAAGTCAGCAGACGAATGGGTGTGTGTGAGTGTGTGTATGTGTGTGCGAGCGAGAAAGAGAGAGCGCGTATGACTGACTGGAGTGTGTGTCAGGCAGGGCTGAATGTGGACGCATGTGGAGAGTCACCATCGAAATACTGAAAGGAGCGTTAATACAAAGTAGTCTGGAAAATCAAATAAAGGAAAAAAAAAAAAAAAAAAGAAGTAAACAGCAAGGAAGAAGCAGCTGATCAGAAAAGGAAAAAAAACCAGAAACTTCAAGAATAAAAAAATTGTCAAGCAACAGCAATGATTTAAAATTAAAAAAAAAAAAAAAAAAGACATCAGGTTTCTTTTCTTTCTCTTTTATTTCTTAAATGACACTGGACTAGGCTCTTAAGTGGAGAAATGGAGGACCGTCGTGTTTAAACAATGATGCACTCTGTAGCTTTTGGGATTTGCTTTTAGTCTCCAGTGTTTTACACTTTATTTTAGCTTCCGAATATATTTTCAGTGCTTGTGTAGAACTGCAGTTAACCCTTACAGTCCCTCAATACGAGTACCACTATAGTTTTGCCTTTTTGGACAAGAAAGTTGCAATCACCCATTCTTACCTTTCAATGCTCTGTATTACTCTTCTGCATGGTATATTTGTTCTTTTATTTTTCTTCTCGTAGGTTCCCGGTAGAGCCCCCGCACCTTTGGTAATAAATGGAGAAATAAGGCCCTTTTATGTAAAGTCACAAAAATTTCAATCTTTACGTGTACTGAAATGCAGCATAGTTTTATGGGTTTTTACTTCTGTTAACAAATTACTTTCTCCTCTTTTTCCCTTTTTATTTGTAAACTGCTTTTTATATTGCGTCTCTCCCCACATCCACGCACTCACCTCTCAGTACTCCACCTGATGTGATTCAGTCTAACCTGTTTTGCGTACACACTGAGGACAGCGTGTGATGAGTGCCGATTTAGAACTGACACGCCTGTCCCATCAAACTATATGCATAATACAAATACAATATTGATTTTTTTTTTTTATATATGTATATGTAGATAGTCCTAATTAATGTCAAGCCACATTAGAGGTGTAATTCTTCATGATAGTTTCAATGATTTGAAATAAATGACCTGCCTCTTATTTTGGGGTGTTCTTTTTGGGAGAAAGTAATTTTCGTAGCGTGATGCTCCAGCTCCCTGAAGTCTCTGGTGTCTCGCAGACTGTTGTCCGGTGCCTTCTTTCTAGAGCACAAGTAAAAGAAGAAAAAAAAAATAATGCATGAACAAACCAGTGGTGTTCTCAAATACACAATATTGTCCTTATTCCCTATTAGGCCCTTTTTTTTTTCTTTTTTTTCTTATTATTCTTTTTTTATTTTGTTGGTGTTGAAATTTCACAACACTGTAGAGATGGATTGCTCTGTGGTCATGACCTTCTGTTGGACATAGGGTATATGTGCAGCATTCCTCAACGATGCGGTTTCATATGTGCAGCATTAGCAAAGACGTGGCTTCAAAGGTGGGGAAAACGTTGAAATTAGATGATGCGCTTAACCTGTTGACCATATGACTACAGGTTAAGTTTCTTTGATGAAATAAATATTGAAACCATACTTTTTTTTGTGTTTTATTACTCTTTTTGGCTGAGTAGTAGAAATGTGTTAAATTGGTTTAAATTAAATTTTACTTGTATAACGCTTTTAACAATAGCCATTTGTCATTAAAACGGGTTTGTAGAAATCCAGATGCAGGTTTAGATCGCTGATGAGTGAGCCAAAGGCGACAGGCAAGGAGACGACGTGAGGATGAAACCTTAAGAGGAAACGGCATCATGTGGGTGCCACTGAAGAGTGAGTTTGTGTGTCGTTACAGTATACAGGTGTAGAAGAGTAACTACAGAAGCAGTTCTTCAGTACAACTCGACAGCGTCCAGGTCAGGTTATCCACTGAAGCAAGGGTGCGACTCGGGCAAAACCAGTTTTTGGAAATTTAAAATCTTTAGGGTGTCAATGTGGGACTTTCCACAGCACAGGTGAGTGACAAGTGCAGAAAGTTCCACACAGAAGTACAGTCATCAGGATTAGTTTGCGTCTGAGCACTGCTATTAGCTGTGGTAAGGCTCTCAGGACCCTTTTCACGACTGTCTTCACTAAGCCCTTGCTGACAGGTACTTCTGAGTTCAGAGGTAATATCACTGTCACCTGAGTGGACATGTGAAGCCCAAGGAGAGAATGGTGTACCAGAGACCAAATTATTAAACCTGCATTGCGGTTTTTTCTATTTTAAAGAGGAAGATTTGGTTGTAATAGCTTATGGTCAAGTTCTCCTGAAGTATACTGCTATGCTGACTCTCTCTAAGCTCCAAGTGCGCGTATAATCTTAACATGAGCTGATAAAGTACTAGAATGTTCCTTCATATGCCCGTTCAAGTCGCGAGGGGAATTGAAATGACAGTGGCATTTTAAAACTATTGAAAGCTTTTATGGAATATGACCTTTTTTTTTTTTTTTTTAATAAATGTACTACTAGGAACCCTTTCTAATAGGAATGCAAATATCCCTTCAAAGAGTTTATTATTATTATTGAAGTCTTCCCTAATTGGTGACCATGAAAGCTGCACAAGCATTTCAATTCCATTTTCAAGTCCGCAGTGAAAAAAAAAAGACAGAAAACCGCATGCCTGGCATGTGATGGTCTAACCTTTATGCCATTTTTATTTTGATGCTGCTGTAGCATTATGAACAATGTTGCTGGCCTGCTTTACAAAGCATTCAAAAATAAAAATAAAATCAAAATACCCAATGCAAAAAAAAAAAGAAATGCATTGCGGGGGGTTCTGCTATCTTGGTACTGGCAAGGTCATATGGCTGCATATTTGCTTCAACAATATGCTTTTTCAAGAGTGCCTGAAGCCACACAATTTCCAAGTTACTGCTAGTATTTGAACCCAGGATTTAATGAACTAAGTCACAATTTCATGTGCTGTAGTGAGGTTTTTATATATAAACTTTCCCTCTGGTCAGGTAAGTTTTCTATGTTACCACCTGTTCGTCCTCATCAGGGATAAAGTTGCATCAGGGTTCATATGCTGCTTTGGGAAAATAAACTTAAGACAGTTTGAGCAGCAAGATCTGAAGGATGTTCACACTGGGGCATCTAATATGAGTATTGGGCATTTAGGACTAGGCCTAAGATTTATAAAGTATGTCCACCAGAGAAAAGGAATTTATGAATAAACATCAGCTAATTGGGAGCTAGCACCTGTGTGCCTATTCTTCCAGAGAAATTGGACCTGTCTGGAAGCATTGACTTTTCAAGGCACTGCTGGGATTGGAACCCAGGCTATGCAAACCACATATTGTTAAACTTAAGCAATGTGGAAAGTTGCTAGCTGACCTGGTGCTCCACATTACTGCAGACCTTGCCATTCTAATGGTCCTAGGTTTTCTTTTCCAAAACAACATTCATATGCATCCTGAATGCAATGCCATCACGTAAAAGGATAAACAGGTAACATCACTGAAAACTAGTCTGATTAGAAGTATAGTAGGGGGAAAAAAGAGAGCCACTTAAGTGGTAGGGTTCTGTGGTTTGGTTAAGATGCCTTTCTAGCAAACTCAAGATGGCATGTTTAGATCTTGTGCTGTGGCTTAGTTGGTTAACGTGCCTGCCTAATAAACGGGAGATCCTGGGCTTGAATCCCTGCAGTGCTGTTGAAACCCAGTATCTTCAAATGTGTTCCTTCTCTCTGGAAGAATGGGAATCTTTAAGTATTAGGACAAATCACAAATGGCAGATGCCGATGCAGAACTGCATCATTTCGAATTTGAGAAATGTAATAAGATGCATGTCTGTCAACTCCTTTTAATTGTCTAAGTTCAGAAATGTCACAAATTACCAGTTGACTCAATGCAAAATGTCAGTGCAGGTCTTGCCATTTCAATTGTCCTAGGTTTTCTTTTCCCATCTACCTTCAGCAATTAATATTTATCCCTTAGAGCACAAAAAGTGTTAGCATGTAGAGCTGAGCTACAGTGGATAGGTGGGACAGCCTTTGGTAGCTTGTGGCGCTGTGGCTTAGTTGGTTAAAGCGCCTGTCTAGTAAACAGGAGATCCTGGGTTCAAATCCCAGCAGTGCCTTTAAAGCTGTTCTGGCAAGTTGCTTCTCTTTAGAAGAACGGGCACAGTAGGTCTGTAAGTACTAATCCAAAATGGCCAATGGCCCTGCATCAAGTTCAGCAATGTGACAAAATACCAGCTGACCCAATGTCAATGGTGGTCTTGCAGTTGCTTTAAGTTTTCTTTTCCCTATCTAGCTTGTGCAAATATAAACGTGTGACTGTGGAAAAGAGTAACAACCGTTTGTCCCATGTGGCGCTGTGGCTTAGTTGGTTAAAGCGCCTGTCTAGTAAACAGGAGATCCTGGGTTCGAATCCCAGCAGTGCCTTTGAGTGTGTGTCCTTTTCTCTGGATGAATGGGCACACTTGGGCTAGTCCAAAATAGCTGAAGGCTATGCAAAACTGCCTACTGTCTAACTTCAGCAAGGGGGGAAATACTACAAGGTCTCCCAAAAGTCTCCATACATAGGGGTCTATGTATGCCAGCACCATGTCTAAACTATATATGAAAGAGTTTGGGTGACATTTTGCTACATAGTGTTAATTTCCCCTATGTATGGAGACTTTTGGGACGCCCTGTAGTTGCAGTTTGCATGGCCACTGTTTATTTTGGACTGTAAAATCTAATGCTGCCTTTGAGGTGAAATTGGAAATTTGAAATTTCAGCTCGTCAACTTGGGGTAGTCTTCTCAACTACCAGTTCCTTCCCTGTTCACAGAGTGACGTCAAATCAACATGGCCACGCACAGTGTGAACAGTGTGAAGTCCCCCTTCTCTACTTTTTAAATTAATTTAGAGCAGTATTGGATTTGGATCAGTTAATGTACAGACACAGTAATTGGTTCGATCTATAACACTGACCATACCATTCACTGTTTTGAGAATGTAATATACAGTTATTAATAACGTTAGCCTGCTAGCTTCTTGCTATTGTCGCCTGTTGTTCCTGTGCTGTAATTTCAGTCCAAAATATTGCATTAATGTTTGAAGTTCATTATAGTAGAACAGCATTCTTCTGTTCTACCAAAGGAAGTGGACCTCTGTGCAGCTACAGGCTTTCAAAGGCACTGCTGGGATTCGAACCCAGGAGCTCCTGTTTACTAGACAGGCGCTTTAACCAACTAAGCCACAGCGCCATACTTGTGGGTTTATCATCACTCTTTTTCACGATACCTTTGACCAGATAATTTACCTCCTTACCAGAAGTTTATTCAATTTCAAGGATAATGATAAGTTATATAGGAAAAGAAAACCTAGGACAAGTGAAATGGCAAGACCTACACTGACATTGCACATTAGGCCTACTGGTATTTTGGCTCATTGCATCAGCAATTTTCGACTATTCCTAGGATTTGCACAATGTGCCTATTCTTCCAACGAAAAAGGACCATCCTGAAAAAACATGGCCACTGCACCCAAATAAGCAACACCATTTCAACAGACTACTAGTATTTGAAGTTAATAAGACCTGCAGCACATTGCGGTGTCTATTCTTTTTTTCACATTGCTGAGTTTGGACAGCATGTATGTTCACACAGAATCAGCCATTCTGGACTAGTCCTTAAGAAACGACTGCTAGCTAGCTGCTTGCTATTGTCCACTGTTCTGCAGTTTCAGTCCAAAATGTTGCATTAATGTTTGAAGTTCACTATAGCAGAACATTACCAATAGCCATTCAGGCCTGTAGCTGTAAAAGTGCAGTTAAAGTAGCGCTTTATGAGCTTTATGTGTTCTGACAACAAACAAGACACAGTTTCATGGAAATGATATTATTACAACTTGCAAATAGGTTAACAGACTTATATTTTAATATATTCTCCCCTCCCCCCTTTGATATCAGCCATATTGGATTAGTCCTAGTACTTACAAATTCCTCTTCTTCCAAGGAAAACCAACCTCTGTGCAGCTACAGGCTTTCAAAGGCACTGCTGGGATTCGAACCCAGGATCTCCTGTTTACTAGACAGGCGCTTTAACCAACTAAGCCACAGCGCCATAGTAATTAGCTCATCATCACTCTTTTTCACGATACCTCTGACCAGATGCATGCTAACACTACCAGATGTTTATTCTTCTTCAAGGATAATGATAAGTTATATAGGATAATATCAACTCAGTGGGGCAGGGTGGCTTAGTGGTTGCGGGTTCAGATCCCGCCGCCAGTGTGTGTGTGTGTGTGTGTGTGTGTGTGGGTGGCGTTTACACATTCTCCCTGTGCATTAGAGGTTTTCTCTGGGTACTCCGGTTTCCTCCCCAGTCTACATGCATTGTAGACTGAGTGGCATTTTCCAAATTGTCCGGGGAGTGTGTGTGTGTTTGTGCCCTGCGATGGATGTCCAGGGTGTCCCCCCAACATAAAAGAGAATAGATTAATATCTATTTTTATTATTCATTCATTATTGTTATAACTTTTATTTATTTTCTTAAATATTCATCTCCTATCCCTTGCTTTTGAGGGATCTTTGCACTGCACGTGGTGCATCGAGCATTTCGGGGGCTTAACGCTGTAACGATAACTGTAACGACGCGTTTGGTTCAAAAAACCTTCAATAGAAAGCTGGGATTGGTGGAAAACTGGGATTGGTGGAAAGTGTTTGAAACGCGCATGCGCTCTGCACACCAGCAGGCAGGCAGTGAGACAGACGGCAGCGCGCGCGGGGGGTTGTACTGCTCAGGTGAGTGTGCGAGGTTGATTATAACAATATATTTTACACATATTTTCGTCACTATTCAGCTTAATAGCGTTATTGTTTTCACCATGTTTCCTTTTGTCCTGTACGAATAAATGCAAGCTAGCTAAAGAGTATTCAGACATGAGAAAAAATGAAAAGGTACAGGTTTAGTTCTGCTCATTTACAGAAGATAAACATAATGATGTAGGTTAAATAATGACGCAGTTCCACCTGTATTTACTGAATAACAGGAAGGAGTAGCGTTTCATGACGGAGCTAGCCCAACGTCATGTCCGGCTAACGCTTTGTTAACTTCACTTCCTCGGTGGTTTTCAGAGGTTTTGGTCGCTAATTACAAATTTTAGGTCAGGTTCTGTGTGCTACAATCCTTTGAGAGTTTGTCAAACATGGTATTAATAATGTTTGTGATTTAAATACACGGGAAAAAACGGGCAAACGTAGCATTCTGAAGTGATGCAGCTAATGTTGTAGATACACAGTAAACAAACCCCAAGAGCTTTGAGCTGAAGTAAAGCAAACAGCCTTCTCCACTCTCAGTGTGTCATTTCATCTAACAGGACACACTCCAGCTGTTTATTTATTTATTTATTTATTTATTTATTTAAAATAATATCAACATACAGTACTGTGCAAAAGTCTTAGGCACCCTATTTTTTTTTTTTTTTTAGTACAAACTTTGTTACAGATTTTTTTTAATGACTTCTACATTATTGATTCGGCACAAAAACATTTAAGATTTCCAAACATTAGTTTTCCAGCACAAAATTAAATGTTACAGAAAATGTATGTTTTGTTTGTTAGTAAAGAAAGCAGAATATTATGTAAGACACTTTTCAGACAAAAAACATAATGAAGGCTGCTGGGTTTTGCTGCAAAAATAAGAAGCGAGTCGACAGTCAAAGTCTCCAGGAGAACTGTGGCTGCTTCTGCATCTATCCTGGGAACACCAAGTGGAATAGGATTAGGAATCCACCCTGAGTGGAACACCAGGCCATCGCAGGACACCACACACACTCATTCACACACTCATTCACACACTTATTCACACCTATGGGAAATTTAGTGGCATGAGGAAACCAGAGAACCTCGGGGAAACCTATGTTGAAACGGTGGACAAGATCTGAAACTCAGGATCAAACCCTGGAGCTGCGAGGAAGCAACGTGATGCCACAGTGCCATCTCTGATATGCACATTAATATTAAAAATAAACTGATCTTTGTCCCAAGATTTACAGTTGGGGTCATAAGTTTACATTCGCCTTGCAGAATAGGACTTTTCAACTTTTGTCTTCTGGGAAACATGTGAATATATTATGTAGCTTCTGAAGGGCAGTACTAAATGAAAATAAATAAAATCTTTAAACAAAATAACAATGTACACCGATCATCCTGTTCAAAAGTTTACACACCCCCGGCTCTTAATGTATCGTGTTGCCTTCTTGAGCATCAGTGAATGTTTGCACCTTTTGTAATAGTTGTGTACGAGTCCCTCAGCTGTCCTCAGTGGGAAAAGATGGATCTCAACATCATATAGCTGCTGTTGGAAAGGGGTCAAATACACAGAAGATGCTGGAAAAGCAAAGAATGTGCAGGACCTGGGGGATTTTTCTGAAGAACAGTGGGCAGTTTAACTGCTCAGGACAAACAAGGGACTCATGAACAACTATCACAAAACAAAGAGTCGTTGATCATCCAGGTAACAACACACACTATTAAGAATCAAGTGTGTGTAAACTTGAACTGGTTCATTTGTGTAAATTCAGTTATTATTGTGTCTTGTGGATTATATGTAAACATCTGCTATGTGAAATAGCTTATACAGGGCAGCACTAAATAAAAAACAAAATGCAATTTTTATGATCCCTCTTATTTATTTATTTATTTATTTATTTATTCATTCAT